CGGAACCTAACTTTTTATTAGTTTGATCTTAGATGATGTCGAGTACTAAATGTAGCGGCTAAACTGTAAAATTATATATATCATTATATGAAGGTTAGTTTGCTAGGAAAAAAAATTGGTATGACCCAGTTTATCCAAGAAGGAAAATTTATCCCGGTTACGGTCATTTTGGTTACTCCCAATGTCGTGACTCAAATCAAAACTCAGGATAAAGAAGGTTATAATGCTTGCCAATTAGCTTTTCAAGAATGCCGAGCCAAAGTTTTAAATAAGCCTCGACTTGGTCATTTAAATAAAAATAAAATCACCCCCCATAAACATTTACGAGAAGCAAAAGATGTGACTGGCTTTTCAGTTGGCTCCCAATTAGATGTTTCACTTTTTCAAGAAAAAGAAAGAATTAAAATTACTGGTGTTTCCAAAGGAAAAGGATTTGCGGGAGTAATTAAAAGACATGGTTTTGCTCTCGGTGCCATGTCGCACGGTGGTGGTCCAGTTCACCGTTCCATTGGTTCTGCGGGTGGTGGTCGAGGTACTCGCCAAAAAGTTCCAAAAGGCAAAAAAATGCCCGGTCATCTCGGAAATGAACAAGTAACCATTCGCAATCTCCTCGTTGTAAAAATCCTTCCTGAAAAGCAAATAATTTTAGTCAAAGGGGCAGTGCCTGGTAATCAAAAAGGGTTGGTTAAGTTAACTAAAATTACCTAAGAAGGATGGACAATTTTCAAGAATTAGCACTTCTGTTTCTACTGTCGACCTAGGACTTAAAAATCACTTAGCAAAGAGAAAGAAAAAAATATTCGTAAAAAACCCTCAAATTGAAAATATTATATTGCAGAAATTTCTAAGCTTCTTATCACGCCTGCAAATATTTCTTTTTTTATTCTATTTTAAAGAACGAAGTTTTTCATTATTTTTTCCTACTAATTCTTCCATAATGTGTGAAGGAACTTCTTGATAATGGGAAAATTGAAGGGAATGGGTAGCTCTGCCTTCGGTTAAAGAACGCAAAGTAGTCGAATAACCAAAAGTTTCGACCAAAGGTATTTGGGCTTTTAAGAGATAAAATTCTCTTTTCTTTTCAATGCTTTCGATTATGCCTCTTTTAGAGATAACGCTGGCTAAAACTGTTCCGTAATAGTCTTCTGGAATATTACTTGCTTCTAATTTCATGATTGGTTCAAGTAGAACAGATTGGAATAAACTCCGGTTTTCATGGAAAGTATAGTAGGCCGCCAGTTGGAAAGCAAGATCAGAAGAATCGACAGGGTGTCAACCTCCGTCTAACAAAGTTACTTTAACGTTAATTACTTTGCTTCCCAAGAGATGTCCTTGAAGAAATGTATCTTTTAAGCCTTTTTTTATGGCTGGAACGAAACAATTGCCTCTACCAAATTTTTCTCCACCTCCACCTCCACCAGCTTTGAATTTTTTGCAATCGAATTTAAAGTCTTCGTTTTCATCGTTCTCTTCACCTTCTGGAAGGGGTTCAAACTTGAGTTTGATTTTGGCATATTGCCCAGCCCCGCCAGTTTGTTTTTTATGAACATATTCAATTTCCACTTCATTTTTAATGGTCTCTTGGTAAGCAACTTGTGGTTTGCCAACTTTTACCTCCACTCCAAATTCAGTTTTTAACCTTTCAACTAAAATTTCTAAATGTAATTCTCCCATTCCGCTAATAATCATTTCCCTAGTTTTGGAATCATAACGATAGCGAAAAGTTGGATCTTCTTCAGATAAAGATTTTAAGCCCTTACTTAATTCGTCTTGGTCTTTTTTGGTCTTTGGTTCAATTGCTGAAGAAATCACCGGCTCGGTAAAGCTGATTTGTTCGAGCAAAATGTCTTTTTCTTCTCCGCACAAAGTATCCCCTGTAGTAGTATATTTTAAACCAATAATAGCAACGATATCACCTATTTTTACTTCAGACACTTCTTCTTGCTTGTTAGCATGCATCCGTACTAAGCGGCTAATCCTTTCTTTTTTTCCCTTATTAACATTGTAGACATAAGAATTAGCCGAGATTTTTCCACAATAGACTCGAACAAAAGTTAGTTTCCCTACAAAAGGAAGATTCATAATTTTAAAAGCTAGTCCTAAGGTGCGAGGATAACCTAAAATTGAAATTTTTTCTTCTTCTTGTTCAGTAAATACTGTAATTTGGTTGCGATCTAATGGAGAAGGCAAATAATCAATTGCTCCGTCCAGAAGTAGTCTTACCCCCACATGTTTATAAGCTGAGCCACAGAAAACGGCAAAATACTCCCTACTAAGTACTGCTTTGCGAATTAATTGTTTTATTTCTTGGATAGTCAACGGATGTCCCTCTAGATATTTCAAGCCTATTGCTTCATCATAAGCAACGATTTTTTCTAGTAAATTTTGCCGATAGTTTCGAACTTTTGCTTTCAAATGAGCAGGTATTTCCTTAATTTGATGACTTTCTTCATGATCGCCTTGGAAATAATAAGCCTTTTCTTCCACTAAGTCAATAATCCCTTCGATGCCCTGATACTCTCCGATAGGAAATTGGCAAATAACTAATTTAGCATATAACCTTTCTTCTAAACTTTGGCAACAAGCATTAAAACGATTTTCGACATGGTCTACGCCGTCCATTTTATTAATAAAAATAAGGCGAGGAATTTGATATTTATCAGCCTGGTTTCAGACTGTTTCAGTTTGGGCTTCTACTCCTTCTTTTCCGTCGATAATTACGATTGCTCCGTCTAAAACTCGTAAGCATCGTTCAACTTCGGCAGTAAAATCTACGTGTCCGGGTGTATCAATTAAATTAATTTGTCCGTCTTTTCAAGAAAAAGTAGTAGCCGCTGAAATGATAGTAATTCCTCGTTTTTTTTCTTGTTCCAAATAGTCGGTTTGGGTTGTTCCTTCGTGAACTTTACCTGCTTCGCGGATTCGCTTAGCAAGGACAAGCATTCCCTCGGTAGTAGTAGTTTTTCCCGCATCGATATGGGCTACATTGCCGATATTACGAATTTTGCTTAAATAATCATTATTTTTTTCTAACATAAGCGTTTAATGAAGCGAAAGCCATACTTTCAATTGCTTTTTTGTGTTCTTCTTCTTTTTTTTTGAAAGCTTCTCCGGATTTTTGACTGGCTTCCGTAATTTCTTTAGCGAGACAGTAAAACATTGGTCGACCAATTCCTTTTCGTCTTTTTTTTTTAGTATTTTTTCTAGCAGCCTTTACTAATCATCTTAGGGCTAAGCAAAGGCTTCTTTCTGGTTTGACTTCTTTAGGGACTAACTGGCTAGTTCCGCCTAATCTGATTTTTTCAGTTTCTAATTCTGGCATAAGTTCTTTAACTGCTTTCTTGAAAATCTCTAATGGTTCTTGTTCAGGATTTTCTTTTTTTAAACAAGCAAAGGCTCCGAATATTATTTTGTGAGCTTTGGTTTTTTCTCCATTTAACATTATCTTAGTGGTTAATTGGCTCGCTCATGGATCTGAAAATCGTGGATCGATTGGTTGTTGATGTTTTTCAATTTTTCTCTTTTTACGCATTGTTATTTATTTTTATGTATTTTTTGTAGTTTTTTCTTTCTTTTTTCCGTAAAGTGAACGACCTTGCTTGCGGTCTTTAACACCTTCAGTATCTCGAGTGCCCCGAATAATTACAAATTTTACTCCTGGTAAATCTTGAGTTCGCCCTCCTTGAATAAGAACATTAGAATAATCTTGTAAATTATGTCCTTCTCCAGGAATATAAGCGGTTACTTCTCTTTTGTTGCTTAAAACTACCCGGGCAAAGCTCCGCAAAGCAGAATTAGGCTTTTTAGGTTTCATTTTACCAATTTTTTTACAAACTCCTGCTTTTTGGGGACTGTTGTGAAGAAAAAAAGAACGACGAGAAGAATTTCAACCACAGGCTAAGGCGAAACTTCTTTTGCGTTTTTTTCTTGGCTTACGAAGATTTTTAACTAACTGGTTAATTGTTGGCATATTATAATTATATTTTTTAACGTAAACACAACTTCTCATCACCATTTTAGCTTTTTGTCTATAAACCCAAGAAGCTATGAACAACG